GGCGCCAAACGAAAATACGGAAAGCCAAGCATCCTTGTCGACGAGCGTGTTTTATTTCACTGAATGTTCTTTTCCTCTTCGTCGTTCTCTACGTCCCATGATGTACGTGCCCTTGCCGCGAGAGGTTCGAACAATTTACACCACAGCAGAATAATATCACGCTGTTCATGACGTTGAGAGCTGTTTGGGATAGAGATAAAAAATTATTGTATGAAGACTTGTGATTGAAGTAGGGAAAATTCCTTATTCTAGGAGCCAGAGCATAATTGGTCCGTCGAAGTATGTTTCGCAGTATCAGGCAGGTTAAAGGCGTTGGTGGCATCCGACTTTTTCGTATTGTAGATGACCGCTGTGCCCTTGTTCACGTGTTTGTACTCGCTGTGAAGTTTGTGCACATAACTGTTTTTTTTCCTTCTCGTAGCTCATCTATTCCTCTTGCGATATCGCGGTTGTTCAAGATGTGCTAGTTTCCTCGAACGGGGGAAGTTGTTTGAAATGAAGCGAAGAGAAAAGCTAACCCCGGAACAGTCTTTCAGGGGGAGGAGACTTCAACAGTAGTTCACAAGGGGGGGCGGTAAAGTAGAGATAAAAAGGATTGTGTTAAAAGGTAAAGAAATAGAGAGAGAGAGAGGAAGGAGAGAGCGAAAAGCGGGCGCAGCGAACGACGGAAATAATAACGTATGTATTCTAGCTTTACTGATTTCTTTGTGTCCACGGAATAGTGACACTGGAACGAGGAGAAACAGCTGATCAGTTTCCCAGTACATTCTTGGGCCGTTCCTAGGCCGTGCCGTCCTGGTCGTACGCTAGAACGATGAAAAACACAGGGAGGATACTGCCTTGAAATAGCGTTTTCAATGAGACCGCAGCCTACAGTAAAAGCGGGCGCTTAAATCAGGCATACGACACATATACAAGTAGTAATGAAATAGATATACACTAACACAGGTAATGCGTTGAAAATTTACCACTACAAAATTTTTATATTAGCGTTGCGTGCGAGCGGAGTTACGAATATTTGTCACAAGCCGCATGAGCATTCTCTCTTCTCTCGTTCCGACGTGAGTGATGGAAGCAAAGCAAGGAGAAATGACACGTAATAAAAATACGCCACGTGCCCCTCTTCATCTTGAGCACTTTTTCAATTTTTCGTCCGTATACGCGGTTTTTTATGGAGATAACGCGCGCAGGCATTTATATGTCTGCGCCTTTCGCGGTGTCCACAGTACCGACCGCGTGCGCCATGTCCTAACCAGAAAATGGCTAATACTATGACTGTAACGAGTGAATATTGAGCTTGCACCATGATTTTCCAGGAGAAGAAAAAATAATTTTCAGCTGACTATCCGAGTTAGTGAAATAAAGGCCACGTGGTGCTTTATTATTATTTGACTCACGTGTTCTTGGGAGCCTCCACTACCGACAGGCATCGTCTTCTGACCATGATAAAAATGTTGCACGGCCCCTCTAATATTTATATGCTGTTTTGCCACTGTGGTTCAGCACTGCAAACCTACGGGGTGTAAGAAAGTGATAAGCTTGTGCAGCTAAAGAGTCTCCCATATCAGCGCCTTAAACTTACGGAGTCGACTAAAACTGGCGTTTAGTGTGTGTTGCCACATCAATAAGTAATGTGTTTATTAATCTTTGCGATAATTTTTACGTATTTACTTATTTGCGTAAGGTATTTGCGGTAACTTACATGTAAAAAGGACAATACCAATGTAGAGGCCACCACCTGCTTCAATGCGAACTTGCTCTGGGTTGGCGTTCACTGCACTGACACCAATATCTAAAAGGTGAAATCAGCCATCGATTTCTTTTTTATAACCCCAAAGATAAAGCATCAGGTAGGTTTCGTCGTTATTAGCGAAATATACTGCTTCCTTAGCCGCAACTGTTTCCCTAACGCGCTGAGGCAGTGGTCGGCTGCTTTGCGAATTGAAGAATGCGGCATCTCTAAATATCGGGCAGGCAACCTTGAACAGCGTTTCACGCGCGCCCAGCACTCCTTTGGTGGTAACAAAAAAAAATGACAGCATATTCATGGAGCGAATTATGGAGAGTTGGGCGAAGCACCCATCTGTTTATTCGTTCTTGCTTCCATCCGTCCATGCGCCCGTCTGTGTGACCAGACGTGCGCCATCTGCCCGTCCGTGCGTACGTCTGTTCATGCGTCCGCACGTCCATCTATATATGCGTCCGCCTCTGCGTTCATCCGTGCATCCGCTCCTGAATCCGTCCGTGCATCCATCCGTCCGTGCAGCCAACCGTGCGTCCATCCATGCATCTGTCTGTGTGTCTATTCGTCCATCTATTCAACACTCCAAGTACCACCATCTCGCATCTTTTCATCATATATTCTCCATATAGAAGCACCGCCATCCAGCGTAGATTCCAAGGACTAAAGGAGAGGTGGCACACGCACACTTTCTTACGGCTTGAGCTTCGTGTCTTCTTCCCACCTTTAACCACCTCGAGTGCATTGCATATACTAGTTCACTGCATTCATGGCACTGCGGCGCAACGCTCGCTAAACCTTTTAAAAACCAAGGAGGTTACGCCCAGCGAGTATAATGTAGCAACCCATTCTTGTCAGATAGTGCTCAATGTACATGCTAATGGCTGCTAATGGGGAATGAGAGACAGGAGAATTCGGCTTTTATATTCTTACGGCTTGTGCTTCGTATCTACTTCTCAGCTTTAACCACCTCGAGTTCATGGTATATACTAGTTCACTCTATTCATGGCGCTGCGGCTGAATGCTCGCTAAACCTTTCTAAAACCAAGGAGGGTACGCCCAGCGAGTATAACATAGCAACCCTCTCTGTTCCGATTGTGCTCAATGTACGTGCCAATGGCTGCTAATTTGGAATGAGAGACAGGAGAAGTCGGCTTTTTGTTAACGTGCATGCTGCGAATTTTTCATTGTTCGATAACACTTAGGAGGAATCTGCCACCGGCACCACCTTGCAGACGAAAACGTTAGACTGGTTACACACTACGACTACGACTGCTACGAGGGACGAACAGGTGCCGCTTTAGGAAGCTTCGCCCCTAAAAGGAGAGAATAGGAGCATTGAAGCCCGAGAAGCGAAGGAAGAATCGATGGAGAGGCAGTTATGCGACAGAAACGCACAACGTTGGAGAGAAACAGCGACCATCTGTGTTCCCCCTCTAATGACTTGAGCGTTCGGATTTAGGTACGCGTTTAGGGGCGAAGCTCCTTAAAGCATCACCCATTCGTCCCTCGTCGTAGTACGTAACATGTCTTACGCTTTCACCTGCAAGGTGGTGTCGGTGGGAGATTTCTCCTGTGCATTGTTGAACAATAAAAAATTCACAGCGGGCGCGTTAACTAAAAGCTGAATCCCCCTGTCTCTCATTCCCCATTAGCAGCAATTGGCATGTACATTGAGCACTATATCACAAGAAAGGGTTGCTACGTTATACTCGCTGGGCGTAACCTCGTTGGTTTTAGAAAGGTTTAGTGAGCGTTGGGCCGCAAAGCCATAAATAGTGAACTAGTATATACCATGAACTCGAGGTGGTTAAAGGTGGGAAGTAGGCAAGAAGCGCAAACCATAAGAAAGTGTGCATGTGCCACCTCTTGATTAGTCCTTGGAATGTCCGCTGGATGGCGGTGCTTATATATGCGGAAGATATGATAAAAAGATGCAAAATGGTGGTACTTGGAGTGTTGACCAGAGGGACCAATGGTCACGCAGAGAGATGCATGGACGGACGCAGGCGCGAGTGCATGAACGAACGCAGGGACAGACTCACGGATGAACGTGTGAACGCACGAACAGACGCACGCGCGTACGGGCAAATGGACGCCCGGATGGTCACGCACGGAAGCAAAAACGAATGGACGGAAGGAAGCTTCGCCCCACTATCCATCATTAACATCGTGGATATGCTGCCATTTTTGTTTCCCAAATTCAAACGATTGGAACTGTTCCTATCACTTACCACAAAATCACCAATCTGGCACTTGTGTGCACCCCAAAAATAATATCGAGTGAGTCTTCGCAATGTTAAATCTTCAACTTACAAAATGTTTTGAAATAGTCGAAAATGCTAGCTCGGTGTAGTTGCTTGATTCACTCTTAGTAAAGCAGCCACAGTAACTGGCTCGGTGTAGTTGCTCGATTAAAGCAGCCACAGTAACAGCAATGAGCTTGTATAGAGAACTCGATGAGCAGTTGACGTTAGGACGGTGACCAGGTGACACAGTGCGGATAAATACATGTAGAGGAGCTTATCGCCATTCCTCATGACTGAGAAACCTAGTAGCCTGCACAGTGCTAAAGAGAATTTTGGAGACAGAGTATAGTAAATTTTAAACGAGAGGCAGCGAACAGTCTCTTTTCAGGAGCGAAGCTTCTAAAGGCGGGGTCTGTCCATCTCTTGCATGTACGTGACCGCCCATACTTCAACCTTTGAAAACTGCCCACTACTTCGTCCTTGAAAAATTCCACTTCACCCCATCACCGATCTACCACTTCAACGACCATTAAGAAAACGCCGTGGAGAATCAGCCAATATGAAATGCAAAATAACCGTGTACTTGTATCCAGGGGTGCGGTGAAGAATCATACATTGTCCCACTGTGTTCATCCCTTTTGTTTGTACCTGACCGCCCATAGTTCCACATTTGCAAACGGCCCACTAATTCGTCCTTGCAAACATCCTACTATGCCTCATAATCTATTCACCACTTCAACTACCATAAAGTCGTTAAAATAAAGATGGATGTATGCGACGTATAGCTACCGCTTACGAATATTAAAATTTTTTGTATAGTTATATACAGTGCTTGTCACGTCATTGATGATGTAGTGGGTGATATTCACGGAAGGTTTATGGTTTAGCGATGAAAACCTTCAGCGCTTCGCCCCAATCATCATCATTCGCTCTGTGCATATGCCGTAATTTTTTTGTTGTCACTAACCCACTAAATATACTTTTCTCCATTTTTATTGGCTTCTCTGTAGGACACTACAATCCCTTTGAAACCTTAATCTATATGAGTGACGACTCGTCATGTGGAGTGTTTTACGTAAATTATCATTCTGAAATGCACTTACGTAAGTACATATGCATACGTGCCTTTCTTTTAGTGTCCATCCTGTAGTAATCATTGACTTGGGAATACGTTGGGGAATGATCACGTTGTTTTATGGGACATAAACAAATAAGAAGAAATGAAAAACTTCCCATGTCCTGATGCACTTCCTCATGACACCCTTAAAGGGAAAGCCAGCCGGTGAGTTTAAACTAGAGGGGCTGCCGTGGAGCCGTCGTAAGCACTCGTACAGCGCCTGCTTCGAGTACTGTTGAGAACTGTGACCATGTCACAATTCACTGCCATTTTCCTCAGTGGCGCAGAGCACGCTCCGCGTCTGTAGGTGACGTTTGAGCATACGGCTCACTGTGCTGAGTGTGATGTGTCTGTTGATTCAGATGAACTATACGAACAATGACTAAGCCCTTTGTAGAAAGTTCCTTACCACTCTCTTCTTTTCATAGTTCGCACTGTGTGACACATGGTACATATATACTATGGTTGATTGATTGATACGTGGGGTTTAACGTCCCAAAACCACTATATGATTATGAGAGACGCCGTAGTGGAGGGCTCCGGAAATTTAGACCACCTGGGGTTCTTTAACGTGCACCCAAATCTGAGCACACGGGCCTACAACATTTCCGCCTCCATCGGAAATGCAGCCGCCGCAGCCGGGATTCGAACCCGCGTCCTGCGGGTCAGCAGCCGAGTACCTTAGCCACTAGACATATATACTATGGTCACTCGATGTTATTATAAAAGTGTTTCATGCCGGTGCCAACAAAGATTTCAGTGACGTGTTGCTGTGACAGAAATGACGTTAAAATTTTGATCATGAGAAGGCAAAGAAAAATGTTTTGCCCACTCCAGCCGAACCCAGGACTTTTCTGGATCTGTGACAGCAAGTGCCGCGCACGCTATCCACTGCGCCACACTAACATTTTTTGAGACACTGGCTGTTTTCAGCCACAAAGTACATCAACAATGACGTAGCAGCCACAACAATAAACTGTGTCAGTCCTACTGGACCGACATAAATTTTGATTGTGTTTTTCGTATTTCTTCAGCGTACATCTTACTTAGTTGTGACTTTCTATGAAAATGAAAGTATACTTTCATTTTTTTTGTGATTGCTGTTCATGTATATATAAATATATATATATATATATATATATATATATATATATATATATATATATATATATAAAATAAGGGAAAGAAGTGTATACCTAAGGGCTCGTTTTTCCGTGTTTTTACCACAATATTAATGAGATATAACAGACAGTAATGTCAAGGAATGTACAGGGGAAGTTAATAAAATCTATGGAATTTAAATAAGAAGAAAGAAAAGTGGATGAAAAAATTACCAACTGTGAGCAGAAACCGAACCTACGACCTTCGAATTCGAAGGTCGTAGGTTCGATTCCTGCTCACAGTTGGTAATTTTTTCATCCACTTTTCTTTCTTCTTATTTACATTCCATTGATTTTAATAACTTCCCCTGTACATTCCTTGGCATTACTGTCTGTTATATCTCATATATATATATATATATATATATATATATATATATATATATATTTATATTCATGTGTTTGCCCTCCTGCTTGGACCCAAATAGGGTCTGCAGTATTGTATAAATAAATAAATAAAACTCTTCGAGTGCTGTTAAAGATTGCACTCTCCACAACCACTCAAATGAGACTCCTGTGCATTCTGAAGTTGAGCAAATTTGAACGTGCGCTCACTGAAGTACATTTTTTTGGTTCTTGCATCTGGATCACAGTGAGACTGTGTAATATGGGCCCACAATAAACAATGAAAGGCCTGGTAATATTATGAGGTCAATTGACAAACGATCCTCTATATCAAGCGCGTGAAGCCTGTGACTATGGCGCAGTAATTTCTCCCACTGCGCCATCGTTAAACGCCTTGTACGCTTTCAAAAATACGCCTTTACTCACTACCATTGTCCTCTCACAGCGTCCCCGGTAAAGTGAAGTAATGCATCATAAACGTAACATTCATAATTGGTTTCTCTAACGCGTCTTTTTTATTCGACCGTCCCACTCGCCTGATTTCTCCTCTTCTGCTCTCGCGAATAAGGGTTGCAGCTACTACAAACATCCATGACGACAAGGGTTTGTGCCCCGCCGCAGTGGTCTAGTGGCTAAGGTACTCGGCTGCTGACCCGCAGGTCGCGGGTTCGAATCCCGGCTGCGGCGGCTGCATTTCCGATGGAGGCGGAAATGTTGTAGGCCCGTGTGCTCAGATTTGGGTGCACGTTAAAGAACCCCAGGTGGTCACAATTTCCGGAGCCCTCCACAACGGCGTCTCTCGTAATCATATGGTGGTTTTGGGACGTTAAACCCCACATATCAATCAATCAATCAAGGGTTTGTTTACCCTATAATTATGGACGTTATTCGTGGGGATGGAGATGTAACAGTAAGCATCAATTTGGATGCATCCGCGTTAAGCGGTGCTATAGCTGCAAAATACCAGTTAACGTATATCGCAGAGGTGCTGCAAGTGTGCAGAATGTTTGCGCCACCGATTTTTGGTTGCAGCCGCGGCCCAAACCATCATACCTGAACAAACCCTGCGTCATCAGATGCTGAATATCAAATGGCACAAGTGAAAACTCAGATTCTCCAGGTGGGCCCTTTATTTTGAAGTTTACGGCCGTATGTCTACCGACAACGGAGACACTGCCGTTAGCGACTATGACGCTCGCCATGGTAGAATAGGCCTTCTTAAGGAAAAATGGCGATTAAAGTAAACTTACCAGCGCAAAAAAGACGAACCATTGAGGAAGGACATACGCACACAGTGCTTAACTCACAACTGACTCATTATTTTGAACGCAGGGCCTTTTTGTGGGCACGCGTCAATGCAACAGAAAGACAACATAAAAAAACGAAGCGAGGAAAACCACAGGACAACTGCTTGCTAAAAATAAATAAAACAAACTGAAGTTACCCTCTTGAAAAACAGCTGGCACACAGTTCTCATCGCTTTTTTTCTTCATGTTATTTTTCTAAACAGCCTAACCATGGCAGCAACTAAAGTTGCAACACTTCCCCAACATAATTTGAAGCATTCTGAAATATTGCAGATCAAAACTCACAAATAAAATAGATATATTTGTCGTATAGTTCCTTAAAGCATTCAATCTTAACTTACAAGACTGTTTTCACAATACATTTAGGGTGAATCATTTCAGCCTTACTCGATAATATGTTCTTATTCAAGCCTTCGGACATATATTTTCGTTTGGCTGGTTTTGTTGATAACAACTTCATTCCTACATGCTTTTATATTTTATTTCAGTTCTGGAAACATGGTTCGAACTGAGGATAAGAAATTCTTCATTAGCCAAGGGACCTCAGTCTACGTGCTCAAAACTTTACCAGGAGTATTCTAGCAGTCAAAATATCACGTATACGTACACACCTGCATGTCAGTGCTTATCCGGTTACATAAATACTTCGCAAGAGGTACCGAATCATCAAAACTCATCAGGAGAAAGTGGCATTTTGATAAGCAGGGATACTGAATAAACCCTGGAGAATGAAACCTGATACCTGCGTAAGCTCAAGAAATAAATGATGTGTTTGGAAACACTGTCATATCTTGGAAAATCTCTGTTGAATTTGCATTGCAGGCTGATTAAATTTCACGTCTTTGTGTCGTGGACTGTTGAGGTCTGGCCCAGCTGCCACGGAAAACCCCTCAGAGATCAAGCCGAGACGTTCAGCAGCACCCCTTTACTCGTGCGAAGTTCGGCCATGAGAAGCGATTGGTTCCATTTTCACATTCCTCCTCTGCACGTTGCTACTGCACCATGTTCACGTTCGCAGCACATTCAGGATCGTTCACGTTATCACAGGCGTCGGTATCACTCGGGCTTACCCACTCCATCTCCTTGTGCTGCAAGCGGTCTTTGGGATTGCTATCATCCGCTGTCTATTCATTCCCTATGCTGTGCGTAGTCTTTTTCGGCCTCGCCCTTCTCCACGACATCTGTGGTCTGTTCTCCGCGGTCCTCACACTCACCGCAATCTTCACATTTTCAGGACAGCCCAGCCACCACGTCTTATAGCTGAAACGCATCAGCCGCTACCATGACCCGAGATGACCACAGCCACCGACACCTCACGCATGCTCAAGACTTGGCTTGCCATTGCGGTCAAACTTTTGAAGTACTTTGCGAGGATGCCTCCGGCCCTGACGAGGGGGGTTGGGGACGTGGTAGTTAACCAAAACACCGCAGTAAACGAACCCATCTTCTGTGCGAAAACATTACGCATATGGAGGCGATCGCCATCGCACTGACCGCCACAGATTTTGTCCTCTTTCCAAGCATAGGAAATTTCGCACAACAGCCAGAACCAAGATGGCCCCACGCACCAAATTGTTATTTGGGCTCCATCTGATACCGGCCTTAGTGGCAAGGATTTATCTGATGCTGCTGTCCACGCGCTCACTCCCCGGGCGCCATTCTCGTGTCCTTACTATTCACACCTGGAACCCAATCCTGCTTACATAATAAAAGAGACCACTCAGTTTTATCAATTAGGCTATCAGATGTATAGAATAATCTGTGAGAGCCTCACAAAGGCAGAGAAGTGAACCCTCTTCGCCTTCACACCAAAACATCATTGGAGCCGGCATTCCTAAAACGCTTCATCCCCACGTACACAGAGAAGTGTCCACGCTGTGAAGAAAATTACTCTGAGATTTTCCACGTGGTGAGGACGTGTGAGAAAACGCCCAACCTCACACCTCTGTCCAACTCTTCCCCTGAGGACTGAAATGCAGCCCTTTATGACTGCTCTGACCAGACGGTCCAACAGGCCTTGGTTAGAGCGTGCCCAGGCCCTGGCCTACGCCAATACGCTCTCGTAAAAAGGTGGCCACCTGGTGTTTCTACGGGCAGCCCCTTCAGGACCGTTTCTCACCCTCCCTGTACATAATTTAAAAAATAACTGTTTTTCTTCATCATCATCTTTTTCTACGCCACGGAACACTTTGACCTTTTCTTTGGGAATCGTCGTAGCCCAATCATATGACGGCAAAGCACTCATGTTTTCTGAGGTCACCGCGTACCTGGACAGCTCATCGGCATCCCGTGCCGCCTCGTTGGACAAGCCTGCCACGTAGTCACCTTGCAGGGGCTAACGTCACTGACTGCTAGTCGCACCAAATGCTTTGTCGATAGCAACGTCGGCAGCTGGTGTCGAAGCAGAGTATTGCGCTCGACAGACCAGTTTTGCAACCTGCCGAGCAAAGCGGGCAAGCCCCTCGTGAGAACTAAAGAAAGTTTGAACAGATATGGCCGTAAAAGACTTTGACTTTGCTATAGAAAGTGCGAAACCTTCACAGTTTTAGAACACTGGGGACCCTCACAGCAAAAAATCTCTTCCAACTGAGGCCCTTGTGTGTTGTTCTGCTTGGGTGTCGAGCTCGCATCGGACGCAGAAGTCCTAAGTACATGGCGAGAACTCGGCGCTCAATGTAGAACGACTTGGATTCGTAGTACACTTCCCACGGCACCACCTCCCTACTTCAGCCACTTAGTCACTTTAAAAACAGGCAGAGAAGGCAGCTAGGCCTAACCCGTGCATTATGGAGTCGTGGTCTTGATGACGACTAAGAAACTGGCAACAAAGGGCTGTGCAGTTGATCCTGGATAAAGACGACCGGCGAGCTTCCCCAAGAGCATTGCCACCATGCGAAACGCAATATGGACGCAAGGAATCGATTGAAACGCTGCACTGGCCATATAAATTGCAAGAACGTTGTAAGAATTGACGCAATAACGAGGCCAGTGTAGCCAGACAAGTAGGATTCCTATAGCAGTTATATACATACTTTAGCTAAAGCAGTGTTGCAGTTAGCCTGTTTGCATGTAGTATTTAACCGTGCGATTATTGTGATATGTGTTGTCATTTTAGTTAAGACGTGCCCTTCATGTCACCGCCGTCTCCTGCGCTTCGACGCCCTCGCAAGTGGTCCCGATATCTGCGACCGCACTCGCCTTCCAGTTAAATGTCATAACTCTACTAACAATCGCGCAACAAGTGAGCCTTTGTTCATCAGGATTGCATGTGCCTTTGCTCAGAAATGCAGATTGCGCAGGTGAATAAGTAACTATTTCGGGTCTTGCCATCAGTGGTGTGGGAAAGCACGCGCGCCCAGCCTCTCTTTCTCTTTTTACGGCAGCGCGAAAGCCTAGTTGCGGGAATACTCCCACAGCCGGCAATCGCGATTTCCTCTTTCCCGGCGCGCGGAGTGGGTGTCCCCTCCCTCAGCGAGAAAAGGTGTTATTCTTGTCAGGAAGAGAGAAACCGGGCCAGGGGACAAAACTGGCGTGTGAACGGCAGCACGCTCTCTCTGACACTGGCCTTGGATAAATAAGGTTGAACCCGCACCCCCCCCCCCCTGCGAGCGGAGGACGACAATGACCAAGGAGTAAGGGTCTACCTTTCTTTTCTGTACTATCTCCTCGTGACATTTGCACGCTATTGCTAACGCCTAGCAATAAAGTGTTGTTGTTGACCTAGCCCTGAGCTCGACTACTGCGACGATGAAAGCTCCTGTACCACCTGTACCCATCCTGCTTCAGCAGCGTAAGGAGCCTCCCACTTTCCGGAGATCATTGTTTGAAGGCACAGAGAGCTGGCTGGAGACCTACAATAGAGTTGGCGATATAAGACCTACGAACGTCTGGGACACCGACGAAAAACTGTGCCGCGTCTACACTTACCTCGAAGACGCCGCAAAAACACGGTTCTACAACCGAGAACACACGCTAGGTACTTGGGATGTGTTTCGGACGATATTCCTGAACACTTTCACGAGCGCTGTTTCCAAGGAACCCACCACTAGTGCCTTGGACACCCGTTTTCAACTTCCCAACAAAGGTGTCAAAATCTTTGTAGAATAGATGACCCGGCTGTTCCATTCCGCCGACCCCAACATGACCGAGGAGAATAAAGTGAGCTTCTTTATGAGGTGTGTACAGAAAGAACTTTTCGCCATACTGATCAGAAACCAGCCGAAGGCGGTCACTGAATTCGTCTCCGAAGCATCCACAATCGAGAAGACGCTCGAAATGCGGCCATAGCAATACAACCGCAGCTTCTCGGCTGCGAGCTACGCCGATGTCCAAGCGCTGGAAATCACTGACCTGCGTGAGACGATCTGAGCGATCATGCAAGAGGAGCTGCGGAAATTACTACCTTCAGCGCAGCCTCAAGTGGACTCCATCGTGAATGTCGTATGACTGGAGATCAAACAATCGCTGGGCGTTCCTCAGCTTCCACAGCCACAGGACAACCCATTAACTATGCTGTAGCAGCCCGCAGTAAGGTCCCTCCTCCCCGCCTCCGCCGAGATGCCGCATCGCCGCAGTTTCGCCGTGAGACAGCATCGAAGTCCCCAGGGTCGTCGTACCACCCGCCAGCCGGCCAGCAATACACGCCAAGGAAAACCCATGTTTGGCGCATTCCCGACCATCTTCCACTATGCTGCCACTGCGGAAAAGCTGGCCACACCTACCGCCGATGCCAATACCAACGAATGGGGCTACGCGCCGTGTCCACAGTGGCGCGTAGCCCGCGCCGTGTCTACAGCGGGATGAACGACCTCAAGTTATTGCCGACTACCTCGCAGGGGCACAGTGGACTCCCTGACGACCTTACCATTCCCCATCGCAAGGCCACTACATGTCGCCGCAATGCCGACAGTACACCGGCCCTACTCGAGGCTATTCCCCTAGCCCATATATACTTGGAAAACTAAGGGCAGCAACCGATGGAAGTGCGGTTGCTGTACGACAAGCTACCGAAGATCCTCCGCCGCAGACGACGACGACGCCGCAACAAAATCACAAGCACCCTCCGCAAGACAGTCAAACCTTCGCATCAAAAAAATGGCACCACGCAACGTAGAAACAGCGGAGCAAATAGACGTAGCCGTGACCCGGCGCCGCGACACTACCGCAACGCACGACGATGAACCAGCGACCTCGACGTAATAATCGATGGCCACCTCGTCACTCCTGTCGATACTAGGGCCGATTATTCCATCGTCAGTAGGTCTTTCGCGACAAAGTTGAAAAAAGTAAGAACTGTATGACAAGGTCCTGAAATTCGGACCACTGGATGTCGCTTGAAAACGCCGACAGGTGTCTGCACAGCTAGAGTCAGCATCAGTAACCAGACTTATCCTGCGAGCTTTCTGACCTTAAAAAATTACTCCAGGGATGTGATACTTGGAATGGACTTTCTAACTCAACACCGCGCTGAGGTCTGAGTCAATCACCCTAATCTCAGAAATCACGCTACCGACCGCTACAATGCAAAGTAATCACGCAATAAATCTGCTGGACCAGCACGTCATTGCGCCGCCTTCTTCCAGCGTCGTCATTTCCATTGACGCCGAAAAAGCCGAAAACCTTAAAGTCATCGTCAAAGGCGATCAGCACCTTCTCCTAGACTGTTAGATTTGCGTCGCAGAAGGCGTAGTAGAGCTATTTGACGGTAAGACAAAGGTGGGGCTGACAAATTTTAGTCACAAATATACGTACATCAACCGTAGTAGTTTCTTTTATTCTTGTGAGCGT